GCTATTTTGGAACCCGGATGACAAACTGGACCAAAATCTTCACGATTTATATCTCGGATTCCAGATTGAGGACTCTCTGCAGTAACTCCAAACAACTGTAACAACTTTTATCACGGTACCTCACGTCGTACAATTCCATCAAATAGAATGAAGTCCCCTGCGCTCACGCCAATATTTCTTGCATTAACATTCATTTATGCGCCTAAGACTTATCTCTGTTATATTTTTTCCGTGTTTAATACTGTATTCAAACGTACTTCCGTTGCTACACTGTGTTGTGCCATTTCCACTTTGTCGCTTCACCAGCTACTTCCACCAGACTCTATATAACGTACGCAAATAGGAAACGCTTTTCAGGCCTGAATTTTGTAATATTCACATACGCAAGTAGAGCACCATATTCTAAGGGGAACATGTCGTCATTTTCTTTAAAAACCAGATTAAATGGAGCGTTATGAAGTTTTGTTTTACGCAGTCAATTCCAGGCATCCACCATATTGCTATTTTGGCGCCCTTTATCGCTTGGGTGTTTCTGGTTGGTTGCCTCGGGTTCGTCTTTGTGCCTTTTGTTCTGATACGTTCTTTAATTTTAATACAATTAGCTTCCAAGGTGAATTCTTGCTTTAATACAAACTAGCGCCAGGTTTATTTTGGATCTTGCGATCGCTCCCAGGTGCCAGCTCTAAGCACGTTCCTATGTTTAATTAGTGGGTTCGAATCCCGCCGAGACCTCCGGCTTTTCCACTTTTAGTCAGATAAATTGATCGAGTTATTATCATTAAAACAAGGGTCAAATTCGATAGAGCCCAACCAGACTCACTGGATAGTTGTGATTAGTATGTTTGAGGGTGAGAATCTTAACGATTAAGTCGTCCATCATGAAATGGGGTGCTCTTATCGATCGCATGCAGGTACATCAGAGTTATTCTTTCTAGTTACCCGCATGCTTATCGTAATGCAAATGCTAAAAACTGTGTTTTGCTTCCGTCAGTTTGCGTTTACAGACTGTCAGTTGTTTCATTAAGTAAGTCTCTGAATGCTGGGTCGTAACCTTTCCTGTTTTTTTTCGGGGTTGCAGCCTAAGTGCAGCACGTGACCTCGGCTAACTGGAGGTTCTACATTTCGCATTGACAAATAATGACAGCAAGTTAAATGCCCGTTACCTGCAACTGGTTCTCTATCTTACATC